GTATACACTGAAAATCCCATGAGCGCTAATGTTTTTTTTCAGCCAGCAAACATTTCAATTATATTGAGACTAGTTTATTATATTTACCTAGATATTTACTATGTCTTTTGTTTACCTTCATTTCTCATGTTCAGAGTTTCCTTTTAGTATCATTTCTTTTCTGCCTGGAGAATGTCCTTTACCAATTATTTTAGGGCAGACCTGCTGATTTCTTTAATTTTCCTTAACTGAGGCTCAATTCCCCCCAACCCCATCCCTGCCATCCGCAGTTTGTGAAGTATTCTTTTTTATGAAATACACAATTCTAAGTGAATGGTTCTTTAAATACCTTTAAAATGCATTGCCATTTCTCTATTTTGCTATCATAGTTTCTGATGGGAAATCTGTGGTCTTTGGAACTGTTGTCCTATAAATCATGCTAATCATGTTTTTTTTTTTCCATCTGGCTGCTTTCATCATTTATCCTTTGTCTTTAATTTTTAGCAGTATGATTATTTTTCGTGAGAGTGTGGATTGTTTGTCCTGTTTGGGATTCACTTAGCTGCTTTCTCCTATAGGCTTATATCTTTGACAAACCTGGGAATTGTTCAGCACTTATTTCTTCAGTTTAAAAAATTAATTTTTAGAAAATTTTTACTACTACACTCCTCTCCTTCAGAGATGGTATGACCTTTGTTGTTCTATAGTTTTCTGAGGCTATGCTTATTTATTTTCAGTCTTTTTATTTTTTTTCTTTTGTGATTCAGATCAGATCATTTCTATTACTTTATCTTCAAGTTCATTGACTTTTTCTGTCTCCCTCCTGCTATTTAGGTCACTAAATAAGTTTTTGATTTTGATTGTTTTATGATTTTTTTAGTCCTAAAATTTTCCATTTGGTTCTTTTTTATTTCTTTGTGTTTTATCTTTAATTTCATGTTATTGATGTCATGGATATTTCATAGTTATTTATTGCCTTTAGAGTATTTACAATGGTCTGCCTATTTATTGCATTTTTAGAAATGGAATAAAGTCTTTGTCAGATAATTCTAATTTCTTTGTCATTTTGATATCAGCAAAATGACATTTTGGTGTCTTTTCTCATACAAGTTGAGATTTTGTGGGGTTTTTTGTTGTTTGGTTTTGGTTTTGTATTTCAAATACTTTTTATTCTATCCTAGACACTATGAATATTATCTAGGTCTTATTTATATCCTGTTGATGTTTTAGCATAGGATTGATGTAGTTAGATTCAGGCCTCTTGCCTCTGTGAGCTGTAGTTAGTTCCAAAGTCAGTTCCAATTTGTCCTTTGTGTTCTTGGCCAGGGTTTCCTCTAGAACCTGGGGCTTCTGTTCACTATTTTACTTCTCTGATTGTTTGATATTCTGATAAGGATCATGCATGTGTAGGGCAGGTTCTTATGCAGCTCTTATAGTGTTGCTTTCCTCAGATACTTTCTTCCCATTCTCTCCTTTAATTTCTGGATTTTTGAGGCTCCACATTTTTTATCATCTGGCATTAACCTCTAACTTTGTGATTGCTTCACAGTGGCAGTAGCAGAGAGAGAAATACCAATTGTTATCCTCCCAGGAGTCCACTAAATGGAGAGGAAAGTTAGGTTCTTTTCCTTTGGCTCCCATATAGCGCTTTTTCTGTTGCTGATGCCTCCCAGTGAGATTGCCTTAGGGTTGAAGTGTTAGAGTCTGTAAACAAGTCAAAAATAACACCTGGCATTTTGCCAGGGGAATGTTAGAGTTCCTAAACAAGTCTGGATGGTGCCTGGCAAAATGCCAGAGGGAGTGGTTTGAGAAGTAACAAAAGCAAGCCATTAAGTGTGGAGATTCCTTATTGGTTGACTGATGTATCTAGTTTATGCTAATTAGATAAGCA